GGAATCCTGCCTCCAGGCTGCCTGAAACTTCAACCCTTCTTGCTAGCCCCCACATTTGCATGAGCCACTTCTTTAAAATAAACCTACACACAGGTAGACAGATAGACCTCTATATACAACATACCAACCTCGAAGTCGAGGGTTGGCCAGATACACAAAAGTGGTCCCATAAGATCATAATGAAGCGGAAAAATTCCTACTGTCTAATAACATGGTGGCCGTTGTGATGTCACAGCACAACTCATTGTGCTAAAAATGCAAATAAAACCACCCATTAGGATGACTACTGTGAGAAACGCAGACCACAGCAAGTGTTGGCGAGGATGCAAAGAAACTGGACCCCCCGCAGCCGCTGTCATGTCACAGCACAACCCGTTACTCCTGTGTGTGACGACACTGCTGTGAACAGACCTACCCCACTGCCAGTCGTATAAAAACACAGCCCAGCACGTACGATCATGTCCAGTAGATGAATTCAGCGAACCCTATGTGTACAGCGTTGTAAAGTCTACAGTGCTGTGGAGCGGCGCCCAAGGCCTGTGGTCGCCTGTCACTCACTGGCTCACCCAGAACCACCGCCATTCCTGCCAGCCCCACTCATGCGCAGTGCCTTCTGTGGGTGTAGCATTTGTTATCTTTTCTACTGTATTTGTACTGTTTCTGTGTTTAGGTATGTTTAGCTTTGCAAACACGTGCCATGGGGTCATAGTAACCTACGGCGTTCAGTACAGTAACTTGACGTCTAAAGCAATGGCCTTTGCCGTGCAGCCTGGGTGTAGGGTGGGCTCTGCCGTAGAAACCAGGATGGTGGCTCCCCAGAGACTTAAACATAGGATTACCATAGGATGCAAAGATTGCAGTTCTGAGCGCCTACCCCAAAAACTGAAAGCAGGGGCTCAAACAGATGCTTGTATCCCCATGTTCACAGCGATATTAATCACAACAGCCAAAAGGTGGAAGCGGCTGAAGCATCTGCTGCGATTCTGAAGCGGGTGATACAGAATCCTGGACTGCTCAGGCCAGCACTGATTTCAGTACAATGTTAAGTCCTCAGTCCAGGACTGAGTAAGCAAAACTTGGAACATACAATTCATCCTCAAAAAGGAAGGGAACCCTGGCACTGCCCTACCATGGGAAGCCTGGCACTGCCCTACATGGGAAGCCTGGCACCACCCTACCATGGGAACCCTGGCACCGCCGTACCATGGGAACCCTGGCACCGCCGTACCATGGGAAGCCTGGCACCGCCATGCCATGGGAAGCCTGGCACCGCCCTGCCATGGGAACCCTGGCACCGCCATACCATGGGAAGCCTGGCACCGCCCTATCATGGGAACCCTGGCACCGCCGTACCATGGGAAGCCTGGCACCGCCCTACCATGGGAACCCTGGCACCGCCGTACCATGGGAACCCTGGCACTGCCATACCATGGAGACCCTGGCACCGCCCTACCATGGAGACCCTGGCACCGCCCTACCATGCTGGCACCGCCGTACCATGGGAAGCCTGGCACCGCCATGCCATGGGAAGCCTGGCACTGCCCTGCCATGGGAACCCTGGCACCGCCATACCATGGGAACCCTGGCACCACCCTACCATGGGAACTCTGGCACCGCCCTATCATGGAAACCCTGGCACCGCCGTACCACGGGAAGCCTGGCACCCCGTACCATAAAAACCCTGGCAACATCACGTGAGTGAAATTAGACACACACGCTCTTAACCTCCCTGAACTTAAAGCTTAAAAATGGCAACTTTTATGCTCTGTATATTTTACTACAAGAACAATAAATTACAAAAGGCACACACACAAAAGTGAACCCCAACGTTTCTGGCCCATCCCAAGTTAGATGCGGTAACACACACCAGGGCAGTGTGACTTAGTGAGACACCTAGACCCTTGGACCAAGAGGCTTGACCCCAGGGGTGGCCCAAATCACCCCAGGGGTCTGTCGCAGAGCCCCAGGACCCAGAGAGCCGGTGCAGCCTCTCCGTGCGCTCACCCTTCCTGGCTTAGGCTTGGCTTTGGTCTGGCCTCCATCTCTGCTGGGCAGTGCTGCCAGCCTTGTCCGAGGCCTCCCCTGGGCACCTCTGCTCTCGGGCCCCTCTGTTCGGTGTCTCTCCTCTGCTCTCGGGCCCCTCTGTTCGGTGTCTCTCCTCTGCTCTCAGGGCCCCTCTGTTCGGTGTCTCTCCTCTGCTCTCGGACTCCTCTGTTCGGTGTCTCTCCTCTGCTCTCCGACCCCTCTGTTCGGTGTCTCTCCTCTGCTCTCGGACTACTCTGTTCGGTGTCTCTCCTCTGCTCTTGGGCCCCTCTGTTCGGTGTCTCTCCTCTGCTCTTGGGCCCCTCTGTTCGGTGTCTCTCCTCTGCTCTCCGACTCCTCTGTTCGGTGTCTCTCCTCTGCTCTCCAACTCCTCTGTTCGGTGTCTCTCCTCTGCTCTCGGGCCCCTCTGTTCGGTGTCTCTCCTCTGCTCTTGGGCCCCTCTGTTCGGTGTCTCTCCTCTGCTCTCAGACACCTCTGTTCGGTGTCTCTCCTCTGCTCTCAGGGCCCCTCTGTTCGGTGTCTCTCCTCTGCTCTTGGGCCCCTCTGTTCGGTGTCTCTCCTCTGCTCTCAGACACCTCTGTTCGGTGTCTCTCCTCTGCTCTCAGGGCCCCTCTGTTCGGTGTCTCTCCTCTGCTCTCGGGCCCCTCTGTTCAGTGTCTCTGCTCTGCTCTCTGGCCCCTCTGTTCAGTGTCTCTCCTCTGCCTGCAGGTCTTCACTCTACGGTCCTGGCTGATGGGGCTGGATTCGATCCTCCTCCTCTAGAGGTGATGTGGCTGTTCTCACCCTGGATCCAGTCTTATCCGTGGCCCTCATCTTGAGTGTGCCCTTCATCTTGGCTCTGCCTTAGGACACTATCCCCTTGGCATTCAAGTCCAGGCGTCCTCTGGTTCTTCACGCACGCCTGAGCCTGTGCGCTGCCATCCCCCTCTGCACTGCCTCGCAGCTGTGCATACAACACACTTCAACAGCAAGACCACGGGGATGCAGTGGGCTGTGCAGAGGGTGAGGGGCCCCTGGACACAGGCCGCTGGGAGGGCTCCAGTCCGCACCTGACTGCCCCCACTCACCGTGGCTGAGGCACAAGCCTGTGGCCTGGGATGCAGCTCTCTCGTGTCTGCTGGAACTGGGCAGAGACAGGTCCTGGGCCAGGGGACCTGGGTTCTAACAGCAGCTCTGCCATTTCTCAGTTTATAATTTCTAGGATGTGAGAACAGGTGTTGCAAGCGCCATATTTGGGGAAGGGGGCAGTTGGGATACTCGTCCCAGGGCGCTTCCTCTGGCCTGGGAAAAAGAGCCATCTGGGAGCACAGGGTCTGGCTGGGGGCCTGGCTGTGTGCTCAGCAGGCGTCTGCCTCTCGGGGCCCCAAGGCTGCCTGGGATGCCTGGGAGCCTGAGGCCTGCACAGGCTGATTTGGAACGTCTGAGGCACCACCCTCCAAGGCTTCCAGAAGGAGGACTCTGAAAGCTGGTGGTGGTTGGTGGAAATTGAAGGAGTTCCTGCTAGGTGACGAGGGAATGCATGAGAGAAGGGGACGATCCCTGGGGAGGGGCAGCATCCGTACATCCCAGCACCCTCTGTCCTTCTCCCTTCGCAGGCCACCCCCAGCACAGACCAGAGCCGTGGGCTGCACAGGATGTGAGGAGAGGAGGCAGAGGCAGGGGCAGGTGGGGAGCACAGAGGGTGGACAGAGCATGCGAGGAGAAGCAGACAGACAGATGGAGAGATGGGAAGGCGCCAGGGAGAGAGACCTACCATAATAGTTGTGAGCCTGATGTCTCGGAATGGAGTCACTCATATCAAAAAGCATTAAGCTGGCCGGGCCAGTGGCTCACATCTGTAATCCCAACACTTTGGGAGGCCAAGATGGGTGGATCACGTGATATCAGGAGTCCAAGACCAGCCTGGCCGACATAGTGATACCCCATCTCTTCTAAAAATACAAAAATCCAATGGACGTGGTGGCAGATGCCTGTAATCCCAGCTACTCAGGAGGATGAGGCAGGAGAATCACTGAAGGTGGAGCTGAGATCAGGTCACTGCACCCCAGCGTGGGCGACAAGAGCGAGACTCCATCTCGAAAGAAAGAAAGCATTAAACACATAGTGATGTCCTTTCCCTCCCTCAAAGCGATAAGCAAACTGTGGACCCAGGTGGTGAGAACCGCTGCCGCTGGCGCCATGGAAACCTCAGAGAAACCCACAGACAGTGAGTGCCTGGGCTGAGGCAGTGACCAGACTCGGGACATCCCAAGGGGCCAGTCTGCCCCGGAACTCTTTCAGCCTTGCAAAAGGTCTGCCCAAGAGAAACGGCAACCCCACTGCCAGCTGACCTGACGTCTCAAGAAATCTGGGACCGGCTACCTGCATCGCGGGGGCACCCCTTTCTATACCTGCATCGCGGGGGCACCCCTGTCTATACCCGCATCGCGGGGGCACCCCTGTCTATACCCACATCGCGGGGGCACCCCTGTCTACACCCGCATCGCGGGGGCACCCCTTTCTATACCCGCATCGCGGGGGCACCCCTGTCTATACCCGCATCGCGGGGGCACCCCTGTCTATACCCGCATTGCGGGGGCACCCCTTTCTATACCCGCATCGTGGGGGCACCCCTGTCTATGAATTGCCTGCATGTGTGGAATATTAGTTGCGTGATTGGGGGTTATGAAGGCTTCGCCATAAAACGTGAATTCACACATTGATAACTGGCCACTGAGTCACTGTGAAACCTCCTCCTGGAGGGAGTCAGCGGAAGAAGACCCCAGGACAGACCCAATTAACAGAGACTGAGACAGGAGACAGAGGCACAGATGGAGAGGGGAGAGGGAGAGACAGACAAGAAGCCAGAAACAAAGAGAGACACAGCGAGAGGTAGACACTGGGGTTGGAGAGACAGACTGAGAGACAGAGAGAATGGGAGACGGGAACAGAGACAGACTGAGAAAGGGAAGAGCAAGATGGCGGTGGGGCAGGGGCACTGTGATAAGTGCCTCCATTCTGAGGGGCTCCTGCGCTTTGGCTCCCTTCTGCTGCCTGATTCTGAGCCCGAAGTAAGGCCACCCGTGCCGGCTCCCGCCTTTCTCTTCGGCTGGCTCAGTTTACTCTCAAGCCACCCAGTGAAGTTCCCTACAGCGATCCACCTCTCCCGGGAAAGGCTCTAACTCACTGGCACTCCCTCGCATCTCTGTCTCTCTCCTCTTCTCTCTGTCTCTGTCTCTGTCTCCACCGCCCCTCCCTCCCCCCGCCCCGCACCCCCCCCCCCCTCGCTTCCCCCCTGTCCCGTCCAGCACCTGGAGGCTCTGCCTCTGAGCCCTGGGAATTCTTTCTCCCAGGCCGGTATCTCTCCTCCGGTCACCGCACCAGACTCCATCCAACATTTACACTTTCAGAACAGGAAGAGAAGCCCACAGGCAGGCAGAGGCCACACGGCCCCAGAGAGACCTCTGGAGTTGGGACCATCTAACTCAGGAGACAGAGGTGGGGGCCAGGAGCGGAGCAGAAAGGGACCCCTGCGGCTCCCTCACCCGATGTGCCCGGCAGCGCCTTGGAAGGGTTCTCTGACTGGTGTTTTTGCCTCGGAGGGGCCTCGAGGCCACATCCATAAAGCCAGGCAGCGGTGCTCCTCACTGCAGAGCTGCCAGGACCCGCCACAGGGCAGGCTGGCCTCTGGCAGACAGTGGCAAACACCCAGAAGAGGCCGACCTGCGGGACGGGGGTGGGGCTGGAGAGTGGGAAGGGCGCGTCTAGACTGGTGAGAGCCGCTCGGATTCGCACAAGCCCCCGCTTGTTTGCCTGTGTGTTGGGAAGAAGGAGGTTGGATCGGCAGGGCAGGGAGGGAAGACCTGGGCGGGACCCCTGACCACACCACCGCGAACTGGGCCCCAAACTGTCACTGCCAGGAAGACAGCCAGGCCCTGCCCTCCTCTGGCACTCAGCCCTGTGCCCCACGGGCACTCCTCAGCCCTGCGCCGCTTTGGCATCCCTCAGGCCCGCGCCCCTCTGGCGCCCCTCAGCCCTGCGCCCCTCGGGCACTCCTCAGCCCTGCGCCCCTGGCGCCCCTCAGCCCCGCGCCCCACGGGCACTCCTCAGCCCCGTGCCCCTCTGGCACTGTGCCCTGCCACTCTGCTTCCTCGAAGGCTCCCAGAGGACACACCCTTCCTGGACAGGGCCGGACTGACCCCGGAAACTCAGAAAGGGCGGAGGCCGAAGGGCCCGCTTTGCATTCCCCGGGTGGGGGAAGCGAGGGAGGTTCAGTACAAATGCTTGGGCCCACTGGGGAACAGGCTCCAGAGTCGGGTGCACTGGGGCCAGGCTGCAGCCAGTCAGAGGCCACGGGGTGGGAGCTGCGGGCTGGAGGAGCGCGCTGGGAGCTGGGCCGCGCTGCGGGAGCCGCCCGGAGCCATGAAAGCGGCCTGTCTCTTCCTGCTGGCGTCCCTGCTGTGCTCCAGGCGGGGTGAGTGCGGCGGGACGGGAGCAGTCCTGGGAGCTGGGGCTGCCTTGGGGACGGACTCCGGCTCGTGAGGTCGTGAGGGGCCAGTCCTCCGGGATCCGGGTGGCAGGGAGAGGCCACAGCCCCTGAGGAGGGGCCTGGAGGGGGCTGCCCGGCCGGTCCGGGTCTGGACCCAGCCTGTGTCTGCACCCCCAGCCCTGAGCCTGCAGTGCTACAACTGCGCTAACGTCCAGGGAACCAGCCAGTGCCAGACCAGCCAGTGCGTTGGGGTCTGCTTTGCTAGCGACTTGGTCTTCACTGTGAATGATGGCGGTGGTGAGTGCTGGCAGGCCCGGGGCGCGCGGATCTGGGAAGAGCCCTTTGGGGACCGCTTCGGGGGCTGTGCCCCAGGGCTCCCCGGCCTCCTGGAAGGAGAGGGGCTGTGGCAGAGGCCGGTATGCGTCACCCCGCCCGCCTCGGTGTCACCAGGCGTACCGAGGGGGTCCCCCCCCGAGCAGGGACTTGGGGCTGGGTGGGTGGGCCTCTGATAGGGCCGGCAGCCGAGAACCAAGGGCCAAGCCCGGGTGGAGAGGGTGGAGGAGAGGCCGGACGGGAGGGCAGCGGGACCGGGGCTGCCAGGCCAGGCACCTTCTCTCTGGCCCACAGAGAAGAAGATTACCATGGGAATCAAGAGCTGTGCTCCCTCCTGCGAGGACGCCTCAAAGACCCTACAGTCGCTCCGGCCGGAGAGTCTGCCCCAGATCCCCGGGGGTGTGGGGAACCTTCTGACTTCGGAGGTGAAGAACCTGGCCTGCTGCAACAGGGACCTTTGCAACGGGGCAGCCAGAGCCAGGCGCAGCCTCGGGGCGCTGGCCGGGGGTCTCCTGCTCAGCTTGGGGCCCCTCCTCTTGGCGCTGCTGTGAGGACTGTCCTGTAACTCAGGCACCACGGGCTCCTCCAGGAGCTTGACAGGGGCCTTGCCACGGTAGTGAATTCCACCCGGCACGCACAGTCGTGTTGGCCTCACACTAGCTCTCTCTTGCGTGCACGCACACTCGCACACACACCGGGTGCCCACGGTGTCCACAGCCTCAGACCCCAGAGTGCTCAGCAAACACGGGCTGTGCTGGAGTTCATCCCGCTCTGCTGCCCAGCGCAGGCTGGGGAGGGGCAGGCAGTCCAGGCCACTGTGCTGACCCCAGCCGCTCCTGCCACCCACCTGCCCAGTGCCCTGCCACCTGCCAACAAGCGCGCCAATCACCCAAGATCCAGAGCCCACAAGACCTGGCTGGACAGAGGCCTCTAGGAGAGCCCGGCGTCCAGCCCCTCCAGCCCAGCTCCTGGCAACGGCACCCGGCACCGCAGGCGAGGACAACAGAAAATAAACACTTTCCAGCAGCGAGCTTCCTGCTCTGTGAATGTCTTTCAGGTGGAAGGGTGGGGGGGGCGGGGGGGGGGGAGTGGGGGCAGTGGAAGCAGTGGGGTGGGGAGTGCAAGGGTCTTCACCTGTGGCTACATCCAGCTTTTCCTTCAGCCAGACAATCCCGAATGGCTACTTCTTGGGGAGGGAAAGGAAAGGTAAGTGCATGGCCCCCTGCCAGGACCCAGTCTGGGAGGTGGCCCAACTCCTCCCACCAAGAAGCATCATCTTCCTCTACGCATGCTCTCTGCAGTCCCTCGCAGGAGCCCCACCCAGCACCTCCACAGGCCAGGCATCTATCCAGGTCTCCCCAGGTGGTGGCTGCAGTGCTAGGAGCCCCCTCGACAGAGGCAGGTACGCGGCCCAGGAGGGGTCTCTAGCCTGGTTCCCTTCCTCATCCTCCTTCACACTTTCTTCCCCTCCAAGCCTCTGCCCTGTGGCCCACACTCTGGGTCTAGAAACTCCCCCAGCCCACAGGAGCCACTCTTCCCTGCAGGACACAGGTGACAAGAGCATTTCCCCCACAGCACCTTCCCAGGGAGAAGAGCTCCCTCTCTTCCCTCCTTATGGCCCCTTGCCCTTCCAACCCCCTGAATGTGACCCCAGAAGCTCCAAGGGATTACCAGAGGCGGGGTCTGTAGGTCCTTGGGGAAACCGAGCCCTGCCCTCGGGCTGATGGCGTGTGACCACTGACCACTGCGCATCCAGATTAACTGTCCTCAGCCAGACACATATCCCAGCCAACCACGGCAGGTCAGAGGACGGACGAAGCCACCAGAGCAAGGGTGGCTGTCTCCCACACCCCAGGCAGTGGCTGGGAGGCGGGCACAGAGCCTGGGTTGGGGCTGTGAGGGGGCACAGCTCCCAGGGTGGGGGCCTTGGCGGTAGGGAGTGCCTAGTCCCAGGCTGGGTTGTGACCCAAACTCCTCTGGGCCCAGCCTTCACTCCCAGGCCCTGCCCTGCCCTGCCCATGAGGAGTCCGAGGAGCGAGAAGGCTGGGGCTGGGGCCTCAGGGTTGTGGGCACCCAGGCCCAGGAGCCTCCCAAGGACAAGGAGCCCCTGCTGTCATCCCCTGGGATGCAGGAGAAGGCCCGGCCCTCCTGTTTCTGGTTCTCTCCAGGGTCTCCTGGTGGTTCTAAGGAAGAGCAGCTGGGTCCTAGGGGACCACCTATGCTGGAGTTTCCATGTCCAGCCCTGATCCTTTTAAGAAAACCAAAACAGCACTTTGGGAGGCGGGGGTAGGTGGATCACTAGGTCAGGAGTTTGAGACCAGCCTGGCCAACATAGTGAAATCCCATCTCTACTAAAAAAAAAAAAAAAAAAAAAATTAGCCAGGTATGGTGGCGCATGTCTGTAATCTCAGCTACTCTGGAGGCCAAGGCAGGAGAATCGCTTGAATCTGGGAGGCGGAGGTTGCAGTAAGTAAGATCGCACCACGACAGAGCAAGCCTCTGTCTCAGGGGAAAAAAAGAAAGACAAGAAAACCAAAACAGACAGTTTCCAAAACCCAACCCCACAGGCCAAGTACTGGATTTCTCACATTTCTGAAGGTGGTGCCTGCCCGAACCACCTCTGTGGGGAGCAACCTTCAGGGGCCTGATCCAGCCAGGGCACCCCCTTATGCCATGGCACCCCCCCATGCCACGGCACCCCTTTATGCTGAGGCACTCCCCTATGCCGGGGCACTTTCCCTATGCCATGGCACTCCCCCATGCCCTATGCCAGGGCACCCCCCCATGCCACGGCACTCCCCCTATGCCAGGGCACTCCCCCTATGCCACGGCACTCCCCCTATGCCACGGCACTCCCCCCTGCCACGGCACTCCCCTATGCCAGAGCACTCCCCCTATGCCAAGACACTCCTCTATGCCAGGGTACTCCCCTATGCCGGGGCACCCCCCATGCCACAGCACTCCCCCTATGCCAGGGCACTCCCCCATGTCAGGGCACTCCCTCTATGCCAGGGCACTCCCCCATGCCATGACACACCCCTATGCCACGGCACTCCCCCATGCCAGGACACTCCCCCTATGCCACCGCACTCCCCTTATGCCAGGATACTCCCCTATGCTGGGGCACTCCCCTATGCCGGGGCACTCACCCTATGTACAGACGGACACCAGGGAGCCAGGGCCACCAGGACCTCTCAGACCAGCAGCAACTAACTGGCAGTTCCATCTACAGGTATGGGGTTCTGCAATAGTGCATGTGGAGCATGTGTGTGTGTGCTGTGTGTGGTCGTGTGAGTGCATGTGGAGTGTGTGTGTGCTGCGTGTGCCATGTGGGTGCATGTGGAGTGTGTGTGTGTGCTGTGTGTGCTCGTCTGGGTGCATGTGAAGTGTGTGTGTGCTGTGTGTGTTCGTCTGGGTGCATGTGGAGTGTGTGTGCTGTGTGTGTTCGTCTGGGTGCATGTGGAGTGTGTGTGCTGTGTGTGTTCGTCTGGGTGCATGTGAAGTGTGTGTGTGCTGTGTGCACTCGTCTGGGTGCATGTGAAGTGTGTGTGTGCTCATCTGAGTGCATGTGGAGTGTGTGTGCTGTGTGTGCTCGTGTGGGTGCATGTGGAGTGTGTGTGTGTGCAGTGTGGTCGTGTGGGTGCATGTGGAGTGTGTGTGTGTGTGCTCGTCTGGGTGCATTTGAAGTGTGTGTGTGCTCGTGTGGGTGCATGTGGAGTGTGTGTGTGCTGTGTGTAGTCGTGCAAGTGCATGTGGAGTGTGTGTGCTGTCTGTGCTCATGTGGGTGCATGTGGAGTGTGTGTGCTGTGTGTGCTCATGTGTGTGCATGTGGAGTGTGTGTGTGTGCAGTGTGGTCGTGTGGGTGCATGTGGAGTGTGTGTGTGTGCTCGTCTGGGTGCATTTGAAGTGTGTGTGTGCTCGTGTGGGTGCATGTGGAGTGTGTGTGTGCTGTGTGTAGTCGTGCAAGTGCATGTGGAGTGTGTGTGCTGTCTGTGCTCATGTGGGTGCATGTGGAGTGTGTGTGTGCTGTCTGTGCTCATGTGTGTGCATGTGGAGTGTGTGTGTGCAGTGTGGTCGTGTGGGTGCATGTGGAATGTGTGTGTGTGCTGTGTGTGGTTGTGTGGGTGCATGTGGAGTGTGTGTGTGCTGTGTGTGCTCATGTGGGTGCATGTGGAGTGTGTGTGTGCTGTGTGTGCTCGTGTGGGTGCATGTGGAGTGTGTGTGCTGTGTGTCATGTGAGTGCATGTGAAGTGTATGTGTGCTGTGTGTGGTCGTGTGAGTGCATATGGAGTGTGTGTGTGTGTGTGGTTGTGGGTGCATGTGGAGTGTGTGTGTGCTGTGTCTGGTCGTGTGAGTGCATGTGGAGTGTGTGTGTGTGCTGTGTGTGGTTGTGAGTGCATGTGGAGTGTGTGTGTGTACTGTGTGTGGTCGTGTGAGTGCATGTGGAGTGTGTGTGTGTACTGTGTGTGGTTGTGTGAGTGCATGTGGAGTGTGTGTGTGTCCTGTGTGTGGTCGTGTCAGTGCATGTGGAGTGTGTGTGTGCTGTGGTCTTGTGAATGCATGTGGAGTGTGTGTGCTGTGTGTCATCGTGTGAGTGCATGTGGAGTGTGTGCATGCTGTGGGTACAGGATACATGAATGCATGCATGTTGTATGCATGGCTGTGATGTGTGTTCATACTGTGGGTTTAGTGTGTGCATGCTCTGAGTGATGTATGTGCATGTACGTGGTGTTTGCATGTGGTGTGTGTGCATGTGGTGTGAGCACATGCATGTAGTTTCTGTGTGCATGAAGTATGTGTGCATGCATGTGCTGTGTTTGCATTTGGTGTGTGCACATGCTGTGGATGGCATGGGCATGGGGAGGAGACACGCAGACAGGCAGAGCAAGCACAGACCAGTGGAAGGTGTGCTCTGGCAGCCTTCTGATTGCTTTTTCCCCAGAACTGGCCTTTGCACCTCCTCCACTGGCCGCCCCACTTCCTGGGACCTGGAGCCGTGGCAGCAGAGGAAAGGCAAAGGTCCCACTGGTACCCATCCAGAGGGCCAGGATGGGACGGGGGCTTCAGAGGCACCCAGATTCTGCTGAAGGTGCCAGGCCCCTGACGGCAGCACAGGCGAGGGGGCTGGGGACACAGTGGGTGTCGAGTTTCCACCCAGCCCATAGTTCATAGATGTGAGTTAAAAGGCCCCCTCCCTCCACACCTTGGTGTTTACAAGAGAAAGCTCTTCCTGTGGGCCTGGGAGAGGCTGCTGGCCACACACAAGAGGAGATAAAAGTCTGTCAGGAAGGGAGTGCAGATTCCTGGAAAACAGGCAAAGCTCAGAGGTCATCTAAGGACCCTGGCCTCTGTCAACTCACCTCAGCCTCCTCTTTCTACATGGTTTGCAGCCCCAGAACCCCTCCTGCTCCAGGCAGTTCCAGGAAGACAGAAGTGAGGACCCAGGAGAGGGTGGAGCAGGGTAGGCAAGCTGGGCAAAGACCCCCTGACACCAGGGACCCTGTGTACAATGGGAGAGAAGACACCAGCGGACCACCTTCTCCCAACAAAGGCTCTGACCTCAACCAAAGGAGAAAAAGCAGTAACGCACTAAAGAGGGGTGCAGGGAAAAAGAAAGTGCCTTCAGACAGTGGGAATTGAGTGTGCCAGGGTCCTGAGACAAGCTTGGAGTACCAGGACCCCCATAAATCAAGATTAGCACCTTGTGCCTACCTGGGTTCCCTGTTCTGTTCCTTGGTCTATGTGCCTGTGTCTATGTTCCTTGGTCTTTATGCCAATACCATGCTGTTTCAATTACTGTGGCTTTGCAGTGTATTTTGAACTCAGGTAGTATGATGCTTCCAGCCTATTGTTTGTTTGTTTTGTTCTGTTTTGTTGAAGGCTGCTTTGGCCATTTGAGGTCTTTTGTGGTTCTATATGAATTTTAGGATTTTTTTTTTTTCTATTTTCTATTTCCATGGAGAATGTCACTGGTATTTTACATAAGAATGTCATTGGTCATTTTCTATTTCTACTTCTTCTGTTTTCTATTTCTGTGAAGAATGTCATCGGTATTTTGATAGGGATTGCGTTGAATCTGTAGATCACTTTATGTAGTATAGAGATGTTAGCAACATCAGCTCTTCCAGTCTGTAAACAGGGGTTAGCTTTCCATCCTGTGTCTTCTTCAGTTTCTTTCATGAGTGTTCCAGTTTTCAATGTACAGATCTTTCATCTTTTTGGTTAAATGTATTCCTAAGTATTTTATTTTTTATAGCTATTGTAAATGGAATTTTTAAATTTCTTTTTTAGGTAGTTATCTGTTAGTGTATAGAAATGCTACCAATTTTTGGATATTGGTTTCATTTCATTTTGTTCTGTTTTTTAGAGATAGGGTCTCACTCTATCACCCAGGTTGGAGTCATGGCAGCCTTAGACTCCTGGACTAAAGTGATCCTCCTGCCTCAGCCTCCCAAGCAGCTGGGACTACAGGCAAATGCCACCATACCCAGCTATGTACGTTGATTTTGTAGTCTACAACTTTGCTGAATTTGCTTTTTAGTTCTAACAGTTTTTTATTTGAGTCTTTAAGATTTTTTGTATCTAAGATCATGTTGACTGGAAACAATGATAATTCCACTTCTTCCTTTCTACTTTGGATGCCTTTTTATTCTTTCTCTTGCCTAATTCCTCTGGCTAGGATGTCCCGTACTATGTTAAATACAAATGGTGACAGTTGCCACCCTTGTCTTGTACCAGATCTTAGAGAAAAATCTCAACTTTCCTTTTCCCCATTTGACATTATATATATATATATATATATATATATATATATATATATATATATATATATTTTTTTTTTTTTTTTTTTTTTTTTTACAGAAAACCCCCCCCTCCCCCAAGATAATATTAACTATAGATTTGTCCTATGTGGCCTTGGTGAAGTTGAGGTTCATTCCTTCTACCCTTAGTTTGTTGAGAGTTCTTTGGGAGGCCGAGGCGGGTGGAGTAGGAGGTCAAGAGATCGAGACCATTCTGGTCAACATGGTGAAACCCCATCTCTACTAAAAATACAAAAAATTAGCTGGGCATGGTGGTGCGTGCTTGTAATCCCAGCTACTCAGGAGGCTGAGGTGGGAGAATTGCCTGAACCCAGGAGGCGGAGGTTGCAGTGAGCCGAGATCACACCATTGCACTCCAGCCTGGGCGACAAGAGCGAAACTCCATCTCAAAAAAAAAAAATTTGTTGAGAGTTTTATGATAAAGGGATGTTGGATTTTGTCAAGTGCCTTTTCTACCTCTGTTGAGATAATGATGGGGTTTTTGTCCTTGATTCTGCTGATGAGATGCATCACGCTTATAGATTTGTGAACGTCGAGACTCCCTCGCTTCCCTGGGAGGGACACCACTCGATCTTGGTGAATGATCTTTTCAATGTGCTGTTGAATTTGGTTTGCTAATACCTGGCTGAGAATTTCTGCCTCTGTATTCATCAAGAATGTGGGCCTGTAGCTTTTGTTGTTTGGTCTAGCTTGGTACTGGAACAGTGCTGGCCTCATAGAATGAGTTTGGAAGTATTCTCTCCTATTCCATTTTTGGGAAGCGTTTGAAAATAATCGATACTGTATCTTCTTTAAATCTTTGGTAGAATTCAGCAGGGAAGCCACTGGGTCTTGGGATTTTATTTATTTATTTTGAGACGGAGTTTCGTGCTTGTTACCGAGGCTGGAGTGCAATGGTGCGATCTCGGCTCACCGCAACCTCCGCCTCCTGCGTTCAGGCAATTCTCCTGCCTCAGCCTCCTGAGTAGCTGGGATTACAGGCACACGCCACCATGCCCAGCTAATTTTTTGTATTTTTTTAGTAGAGACGGGGTTTCACCATGTTGACCAGGATGGTCTCGATCTCCTGACCTTGTGATCCACCCGCCTCGGCCTCCCAAAGTGCTAGGATTACAGGCTTGAGCCACCATGCCCGGTCTGGGCTTTTATTTTTGATGGGAGACTTTATTAGTGACTCAGTCTCCTCACTCATTATTAATCTGTTTGGATTTTCTGCTTCTTCATAACTTAATCTTGGTTGGCTGCATTTCCAGGAATTTATCCATTTTTTCTAGGTTATCAGATTTGTTCATGGATAATCGTCCGTGGTAGTCTCTTATGATTCTTTTTGTTTCTGTTCTGTCAGGTGTAATGCCTCCTTTTTCATCTCTGATTTTTGTTTATAGTTAGTCTGGCTAAAGATTTCTCAATTTGTTTATATATTTTAAAAACCAACTCTTGATTTCATTGGGTGTTTGGTTCTTTAGACAGGGCCTCCCTCTGTCGCCCAGACTGGAGCGCAGTGGCATGATCACAGCTCACTGCAACCTTAACCTCCTGGGCTCCAGCAATCCTGCCTCAGCCTCCTGAATCGCTGGGACTACAGGTGCATGCCACCATGCCCGGATAATTTTTGTATTTTTTGTAGAGGCAGAGTTTCACCGTGTTGCCCAGACTGATCTCAAACTCCTGGGCTCAAGGGATCTGCCTGTGTGAGCCACCCAGAATGCTGGGATTACAGGAGTGAGCCACTATGCCTGGCCACATGGGTCTTCTCTGTGGTTTTTACGGTCTCTATTTTATTTATTTCGGCTTCTGATCTTTATTGTTTCCTTTTTTTGTCAATTTTGAGCTTTGTTTTGTTTTTTTAGTTCCTTAAGGTGCAAAACTGGTTATTTATTTGAGATCTTTCTTCTTTTTTGACGTAAGCAATTTCTATAAACTTCCCTCTTAGAACCGCTTTTGCTGTATTCCGTCTGTTGTGTTCCCATTTTTATTTGTCTTAAGAAATGTTTAAATGTCTCCTTTAATTTTGTCATTGATTCCTTGGTTTCATGTATTTGTGAATTTTCCAAGGTTTCTCCTGTTACTCTTTCCAGTTTTATACCCTTGTGAACAGAAAAGATACTTGTATGATTTCACTCTTCCTAAATGTACTAAGACTTGTGTCGCGGCCTAACACATTTTCTGTCTTGGAGAATGTTTCATTTGCAATCGAGAAGAATGTGTGTTTGTTGCTGTTGCACAGAACGTTCTGTACCTGTCCCTCATGCCCATTTGCTGTACACTGTAGTTCAAGTCCAGTGTTATGTTGATTTTCCTTCTAGATGATCCCCCCGTTGCTGAAGGTGGGATACTGCAGTTCCCTGCTATTACCGTATTGCTACCAATCTGTCCCTTCAGATCTGCTTTATGTATTTAGGTGCTCTCATGTTGGGCGCATATATATTCACAATTGTTATATCCTCTTGATGAAATGATCCCATTATCATTGTATCAGGACCGTCTTTGTCTGTTTCTACAATTTTGACTTAAAGTCTATTTTTCAATAGTTTTTTTTCTCAGATTCTGCAGGGATGAAAAGGTATTTTATCTGATATAAGTATAGGTCTTGCTACTCTCTTGGGTTTCCATTTGCATAGATTATCTTTTTCTTTTTTCTTTTTCCTTTTATTTATTTATTTTTTTGAGACAGAGCCTCATTCTGTCGCCCAGGCTGGAGTGCAATAGTGCAATCTTGGCTCACTGCAACCTCCGCCTCCCAGGTCCAAGTGATTCTCCTGCCTCAGCCTCCCAAGTAGCTGGGACCACAGGCGTGTGCCACCACACCCGGCTAATTTTTTGTATTTTTAGTAGAGATGGTATTTCACCGTGTTAGCCAGGATGGTCTCGATCTCCTGATCTTGCGATTCACCTGCCTCAGCCTCCCAAAATGCTGGGATTACAGGCGTGAGCCACCACACCTGGCCAGCTGAAGAAGTTTCTAAGCAAAGCACGAAGGTGCAGCTTGGTGCTCTTGAAAGCTTGTAGTGAAATTCATGAAGAGAAAAATGGTTTAAAGATGATGTTTTTCGTCAAAGGGGAATCAAAACTTAAAAGTTTGAAAACTTCTCAGCTGGCCCGTGCCGAAAGGAATGAGAAAACGTGTTCAGGAGAGAATCAGGGTGTAGCCAAGCCACCGCTGGATGAGATCAGCACAGCTCAGCCACCTCTGCGGAAGCCAGGTGCTGACGGTGAAAGAATGAGCCCGAGGCTGATGGTTTGGAGCCCGTGGGACTGCCCCATTCATCACAGATGCGGAGTGCAAGGGGCCTGGAAACAGAGTGGTTTCAAAGGCAGGCTCTGCCCGGCCTGGTGGGGTGCCCTCCCTGGACTTCCTCACAGCCCTCCTCACCGCCCAGGTGGGGTCCAGCAGGTGCTGGTGGGCTGTGCACTCAGCAGAGGTGTGGGGCATGTCTACCTCCACCTAGATGTCAAGGGGTGCCTCAGAAGGCTGGGAGGCCAGAGAACCACCATGGGACAGAGCCGCCGCAGAAAGGCCCCACGAGGGCAATGCCGAACAGAGCTTGGAGTCAGGGCCGCCTCTAAGACCTCAGAGCAAGGGGGCAGCTGGCTTAGGATTTCACACCTCCAGACTCAGACACAGAAGGGTGCAGAGCTAGGGCCGCCACAGAACAGCCACAGGGGCTGGCCTAGGCACAGCGCCATGGGCAGGGCTGCGCCTACCATCTCTGAAAGGCAGATCCCTCGACTGTCCCAGTGGGATGGGAGAGAAGTGAATCAGGCCAAAGAAAGACTCCTGGTGAGCCTTTCGATCTAATGCTGTTTGCCTGTTGCCTTTGTCCTTGCTCAGGACCTGCCACGCTTTCCTCTTTCCCATCTCTCCCTTTCGGAACAGGCTCGTGTGTCCTCTGCCCGCCCCACCCCTGCGTTCAGGAAGCACGGCCTCTCGCTTGCCTCTGCAGGCTCACAGCTGGAGGAGAACCGCCTCTGGGT